TCCGTGCTAACGTCCGGTGCCTGAAATACAGGGAGTTGCTGTTGTAGTCCGGGAGGATAGTGGTGGTCAGATAGCTTCATTGAGGCAGATGTGTAAAAACAGATCTGCAAATCGTATGCGTGTGGTGTGAGGTGCACCCAGTGGTACAGGCAGCTGAGGTTAAGTCAGTAGCTGACTGTGTCTCCCAGGAAAACCCAGGTACACAATTGAAGTGGTCCAGGTTCCATGGCTTGTCTGTGGGCCTGCTCATAACTGGCAGCTTGGGTCTCTTCTGTCTGCATTCCCTGGCTTCTTGCTTTTCTCTGAGGACTGTGCCTTTTGCTCCCTCTCCACAGTAGTCGTGCTCTTTTTGAACAGATGCTACCCTGTTGGGCTTTTTTCTGCCATGTTACTGAGATTTTACAATGGGAATGCTCAATGAATGCTGCAACTGCGTTTAGATACACAATATTTTCACATTTTTTACTAGTTCAGTGTTGTCATGACGATAATGTAGCTATCATAAGTTGTATGTTTTCTTATTCATGTGTTTTAAGTGTTCTGAGAAAGACAATCTTTTAAAAATTTATTGGATTTAATATGGTTGCTCTGTTATTTTGAGGGATTTTTTTGGAAGTTAGCGATACAAACATTCAATTTGGAAGTAAATTGCATTTGGCTAGGTGGAAATTATGAGAGTTGGAGCTGCTGGTCATCTGTCTTAGACCCACTGTTGCAGATGAGGCAAAGCAAAGGCAGCGGCTGGATCTTCTCCCTTCCACCTCACTTTCCCCCTTGCCCTCACAGGCTGCTCTCTGTCCACTTTAAGACGCTGATAGATATTTCAGCATCTGCTTGGCAAAGCAGGGATAGCAGGTAGAGCTAGACTTCCATGCGTAGGTACTAGTGCTCTTCTTTTTTCATGCTCATGGCAAATTGGCTTCTCCTTGGGCCAGTTTTTCTGAGATGCAAGAGTGTGTTTTGTGGTGAAAAGAGGAGTTCCACAATTTCATTTACTTGATGTCTGTTAGTCATAAAAAAGTAACTTTGCTTTTATAATAACTGGGTAATTCTCCTCTCTACTGCTATCAAACCCCTGTGTACCCATATGTGTGTTTGTTATAAGCAGGGTAGAATTCACAGAGCCACACAAGGGAGTCAGCAAGCATGGTGGCATCAGCTCAGATGTCGTTAGTACATCTAAGGAACAGTCTTGCGCTCAGGACTTTCCAATTGCAATCACACACAAAAGAGAACCTGCACTAGAAGTCAGGTAGCACCTGCTCTCTAGTTTTCTTCTAGCACTCTGAAGAAAACTGCTTCTTTACCACACCATAAATTTCCATCTCTGTATGCAATGTTTGATTTGATACTAGCTGCTCTCCTGATTTTCTTCCTTTTGTCCATACAAAGTATAACAGTATAATGAAGAGTATATCTCAAATTCCCTTAAGACTCATTCAAGCCTAGTCAGAAGCTGCACATTCTTCAAAGTGTGTTAGGCTGGCTGTGAGAATAAACAATGTTTCTGTGCTAATGTGACTTTGAAATGGCTTTGATGTTGCTGTGGCATTCTCTGTGAGCCATGTGAATGATGTGGGGGTCGAAGATGCGTGCTGCTGCACAGATCTGAAGTAATTTTGCCTGGAGTTCATACGTGAATGGTTTTCATTGAAGCACTTGGACTCTCTCCAGAGGTTCTTTTGCGTAAGCAGCAGACTAACATCTGTGTCTCTGTCATGGACAGCCCATGTGATCTCTACAAGATCTGCTTTAGACACACTGTTTTGCCCAGAAGGGGAACTGGTGATTGGTGGCAAGCTCAGTGCAGGGGCATGATGCTGTCTCTCCAGCTCCCTGGCTTTGACAGGAGGCTTAGGGCACACGTGCCCACAAGAGGTCCCACCACGGTCATGGCAGTTAGAGGGGCAAACCGACCCTCAGGACCCCCTTGCACCTGCCAGACCCGCTTTGAGAACTTCCCAGACGAGGTGGCCTGCTTGCTTTGTGTAATTTCACCCTATGGGAGGACCACTCCACCCAAGAGGACACCCGCAACACACCTTCCAGAATCATCCAACTGAAACGGTATAAAAGACACCAGATGGAGCAGCCATGTGCCCCCCCATCACCCAGGACCAGCGATTCGACAGACGACCATGAATGAGTAATCACTGGAACCTAGGGTGGTGATACCCTTACCTGAAATTGAAAATAACTCCCCAAACAAAGAAAAGTACGTTTAGGGAGGAGAGATTGCTTTATTCTGCTCAGGGTGCAAGGTGGAATATTTATGCAAATCAAGCACAGTCAGTTATGGTCGTTTTGTACATTTATACAGTTGAAAGTGTTAGTTCTGTCTACTTTGCCACATCCTTCTGACTATAATGGGTTAGTTTTTATCTCTTCTTAGCTGCAGTTGGTTAGTTCTTTTCTCGGTTTGATTTAAAAACAGTGTTCCTTATATTTATTACCCATTCTTAGTGAGTGAGAGTCTTCATTCTGGGAGGGTTGTCCAGACACTGGGAGGTGTGGTTTTCACATTATCATGAGATGGGTTCATCATAAGTGCTCTCTATTCTAACAGCTGAGGACTTGTGATAACAAAGCACCCATGCTCTGGGATGTTTTAGGCTTCAAGGACAGCAATTCCTGCAGTCCCTGATTAGGGGTCCTTCATTAAATCACTCTCCTTGTCTTGAAAGGCAGACTGACCCAGCACTGTCTTAACTGTTCCTGGGTAAACAGTTTAACTTCTTCATTGCCGGATGACGATACTCCCCCTTTCCTATCATTATAACTTCTTGTCTACTTCTTCCCTTTCTCCTTTCCTTTCCTCTCCTTACTCTTCTCCAGTTCTTGGATAACACATGGTTAGAGCATAGACACATATATATGTATATATAGCTATATTCTTGATCACACTTATGATATAAGAACTATTGGATATATATATAGTTAAAGTTACACTTTCAATCGTGTTTATGATATAAGAACTATTGGAGATATCTATAGGCGGAAATTTTTCACTCAGAGGGTGGTGAGGCACTGGAACAGGTTGCCCAGGGAAGTTGTGGATGCCCCATCCCTGAAGGCATTCAAGGCCAGGCTGGATGGGGCCCTGGGCAGCTTGCTGTAGTGGCTGGCAACCCTGCCCACAGCAGGGGGGTTGAAACTAGGTGATCTTTAAGGTCCTTTTCAACCCAGGCCAGTCTATCATTCTGTGGTCCTATATATATAGTAATATTCCTGATCACATTAGTAATATGAGAATTGCTGGAAAAGTTTATTCTGCTTGGTGTAAGTACAATATAAAGTTTGGACTTACATTAGCTGCAGTTATACCCTTTACTGCACAGCCACTCTTTCTGTGTAATCAATAATTTAATTGGATTTTCTTAGTTGCTTGGTGTTAATTCTGCTTTTGTTTGCCCACCGGGGGATCTCAGAACCTTGTTGCAGTATGTTGCAGGGTTGCTGATTTGTGTTGTAACAGTCTCCATCCACTGGCAAAGCGTTCTGCTAAAGCTCTTCAGGTTGGAGAACCTCTGCAACTCCCACCCCCAGCTGTGTTTGTTGTATAAGTAAGGGAGGAGGGGCCATCAGATTATAAGCATACATGTCTCTTTCAAAAGGCTGGCAAAGAATATTTCACCTTGCAGGGGGTGAAATACAGTTTAATAGGTAAAGCAAAAGCCACACACATGAGCAAAGCAAAACAAGGAATTCGTTCACTGCTTCCCATTGGCAGGCAGGGGTTTAGCCATCTCCAGGAAAGCAGGGCTCCGTCACACGTAAGGGTCACTTGGGAAGACAAACGCCATTGCTCTGAATGTCCGCCACTTCTTCCCTATGTTATATGCTGAGCCTGATGCCATATGGTATGCAATATCCCTTTGATGAGTTGGGGTCAGCTGTTCCAGCTGTGTCCCCTCCCAACTTCTTGGCCACCCCCAGCCTGCTCACTGGTGGGGTGTTGTGAGAAGCAGAAAAGGCCTTGGCTCTGTGTAAGCACTGATCAGCAATAATGAAAACAGCCCTGTGTTATCAACACTGTTTCCAGCACAAATCCTAAACATAGCCTCCTACTGGCTACTATGAAGAAAATTAACTCTATCCCAGCCAACCCCAGCGCAATTCTACATCATTAACCCTGCCATTTACTACCTGTTAGCTAAAATCAGATAAACCTGTTACTGATACAGCTTAGTGTTTCTATTGGTTTTGTAGTCCCTGAAAAGTGCTAGTTAGCTGTCTCTGCATAGTATTTACTGAGTGGCGCAGTGTTCTTACTCTCATACCACATCTTTTGCAGACTAGTCCTTTCGCCATGGAAGCTAAAGAAACAATGGAATGTATCCAGGAGTTCCCTGAACACTATAAAGTTATTTTGCATAGACTGAATGAACAACGTGAGCAGGACCAGTTTACAGATATCACTCTGATTGTCGATGGTACGTACAGGCCTGAGAGACAGTTCTTATACAGAGAATTCAGAAAACTGTGCTCAGAAGCTGTTCAGTTTGTTACAGGTCAGCTGTCAAACTGGGCTGCTAACAAATTCTTGGTTCTGTACTGGTGTGCGAGTTGCTTAGAGTTTCATTTAAGATCTCAGGATGAACAGAGTCTCCATCAGTCATTAATAATTTGGGTCTGAACAAGGAGCTAAATATTTTCAGATAGAAGTCCCTTTTGAAACTGCTCTGCTATACTTAACATGTTGCCTAAGGATTTCCAAAACATTGTTAAAATCTGTTTCCCTAACTTGAGCTGATTGTTTGCATGCAGAGAACTTGTACCAAAATTGTGGGTTTTTTTAAAAAAAAAAAAAAACAAAACCAAACCACTTTGAAATAAGGTTTACTTCTTGCTTCTCTGATATCTGTCGCCTATTTTAATATATAGTTAAAATAGGGTAGGAGCACTCACATTTCTTTTTATGTATGTTCTAAGGACATAAGTATTAGTTTAAAAGGATGGTGGAAATATAAGTGCTTATTATCTCCTTAGAAAAGGTGGTGTCTGATAGATCACTTAAGATTGCTTCTTATCCCAAACATGTCAAAGAACAGAGGAGGACTTCAAGGAATATAGGCAGTGTCCACTAGGACAGACTTAGCTAAAGGAGTACCACCTGATCTTTAAAAGGATAGCAAGAACTGAGTTGAAGCAAAAGGGTCCTACATAGCTTGGATTAAAAAAAAAAGTAAGCAAATGAAGAAAAAATTACTCTTCAGGAACTGCTGTAGTTTCACTGACAGCGTTTGCGCAAAACTTATCCTGAATGTTTGTTCCTGCTCTGGTATTACCAAATCCATGTGTTAAGCTCACAGCTGGTTTTGTGCAGCTGTGTAGTTTTACTCTATGTTGCTTCTGTTACCTCTGTCCCTTGGAGCCTTATGAATGTTCAGTCCTGCGCCAGGGAGAAGGCAGCACAGTGATGGGGAATACACAGTTTGGAAAACAGGAAGAACAGAGCAGAACTGGTGTTTATGCTGGCAGAAGTGGTGATAAAATACATCAGTCTGTAAGAGCAACAAAAACCAAGGAGAACCTGGGTAAAATCGGAGAGCTGAGCCTGAGACATACAGGAAGCAGTTAGTATAGGAATTTCCCATAACTTACATATCTGAAAAGAAAACACTGGACTGAGTGAGTCCTGTGGTTGGTTGAGTTGCAGAGCGTCAGCAAGGGTCTGCATGAGACAGAACAGGCTAGCTGCAGTAGTATCCCATGTTACAAGGAGGCATGCTAAGTGACTATATGCTGCTGGAATAGATGTGTAGACTGCATGGTCTCTTTTCTGCATCTGCACTTATTCTGCGCTGTGAGTGAGGAGGTGTTACCCTAAACCAGAAATTTTGTTTTTCTTTGTAGGTCATCATTTCAAGGCTCATAAGGCTGTTCTTGCTGCCTGTAGCCAGTTTTTCTACAAATTTTTCCAAGATTTCACTCAGGAGCCATTGGTGGAGATTGAAGGTAATCTGGTTTGTACAAATAAAAACCTTCAGAGTTGCATGCCCAAGATGGAAGTGAATGTAGTATCCTTGGTACAGGCTTACATACGTGCTTGGTCATATCAATTAGCTTTCTCGATCTCAGCTCTTGAGTTATTCTGAGTCAGGTACCACCACTGGAAAAAAAATTGTCCCGAAGAAAAATTAGAAAGAAAAAGAATGGTCCTGAATTAAATGTTTTGTAATGGAAAGTGTGAGGTTCTGTGGGTGTTTTTTTCATTTTTGTTTTTTCTTCTCCCCAATACATGGCTAATGGAGGTCAGGCAGACCCAGTATGTTTTTAGGACTGGAAGTGACAGGTAATCTTTGCCCTGACAACAGCCATTCTGGTCAGATGAAAAAGGCTGTGAGTGATGGCCAATGGGAGACACCTTGTCTGGGGTGCAAGAACAGGATAGAGATGGAGCAATACTTGCCGGGTAGGCAGGGAGCAAATTCCTGGAGCAATATTTCAGCCTCCAGTAACTTGCTGCTCAGAGGTCTCTTGAGAGAGAGATTGTATTTTTTGTGTTTAAATCTATACTTTTTATTATTCAAACAGCTTTTTGTCCACTTATCCTTCCTTTTATCTTCGTCGTAACATAACTCTGTAGTTGTTCCAGATTCACATGTTTCTGTAGTAGACTTTTAATTCCAACATGAGCCTTGTAAGTGTGTAATCTTCATGGAACTGGTGGCTACAATACTGTGAGCAAAATGGTGAGCAAGGAAGTGTGTGAGATTTGTCAAATAGATGAGACTGAGGAATTGCTGAAAGAAACTGTTGTTTTTCTTGCCTGTTTACAGGTGTAAGTAACATGGCGTTTCGTCACCTAATTGAGTTCACCTATACAGCAAAACTAATGGTCCAAGGTGAGGAAGAAGCAAATGATGTTTGGAAAGCAGCTGAGTATCTACAGATGTTAGAAGCGATCAAAGCACTTGAAATCAGGTAAGCACATAAGCTTTTTTCTTCCCAACACTGAAATCTAGAGTCACAAGAATCATTTTACATGAGCTGTCTGACAGTATTTTGCAGTGCTGTTCCTGAGCCTGGTACCTCCTAAACTTGTGTGGGACCTTTTACTGTAAGATACAGATCAGAATTATACAGGCTAAAAAAATGAATGTCACATTCTTTGGGCTGGAACTTGATGACAAGTGACATGGCTGGTAAATGTTGCAGACATTGCGGGGCTGTGACTTTATGGTAACTAATATCAGGTCTCTGTGCTATCTGACTGCCCACACCTGACTGACAATGTGCCTCAGGTAATTAGACCACATTAACAAGCTTGTGCTCATGTTTTGATTTCATGGAGCTTTCTTCTGTTCCTGAGAGAATAAGCAGTGATCTTAAAACTTCTTGCTGCAAAATTAACCTCTCAAACTTCTTGAATCAATGTAACTGTTATAATCAGTTTTATGTGGGATTAATGCGTAATCAAATGTTGCTGTGATGCTTTTTATCCAGTACCAGAAACTGTACTCCGTCACCAGACTCCAAACTGAAAAAAGCACGCGCCAGTCCTATCATGCTGTTTTTCTTCCCCTTCATTCCCTTTCACTTTCACAAAGTGCTGTCATATTCTCATTCCTTCTGCGTGCTTTACAGTTCTGCTGGCATGAAGCAGAGGGAGGGGCAATAAATGCTCCCAGCATTAGGGTTATTGTTGCTTTCTCTTCTAGACCTGCTGAAAGGTCTTTGCATTCAGGCTAAGGAAAGACAGTTGCTTCCCTTTTTATCTCCCCATAGACACATTAGCCAAGGAGAGTGGCATTGGCCCCAAGTTCCTCTAATAGCCAGCGAACATTTTGTTGAAAAAAACATCCATGACATGATACACTGGAAACTTGGTTTTCAACATCAACATTTATTTCTGAATTAACTTATTCTGTGCTTATTTTGTGGATTGTCAGTAGAGATGATTAAGTATGTAATTTTTTTTAATAGGAAAGATATGGGATTGTGCATTTCTCGTTCTACCCTCCAACCCCACAAACACTTTTTTTTTTTTTTTTGACGTTATTAGGAATAAGCATGGTACTGCCAAAGGAATATATTTATTTTTTTGATTCGGGAAATAAGCAGACCTTAGCTGTCTGCTGGAGGAATTTAAAACAAACTTGAAACTGAAAAAGTCTGTTCTACTCAGTATCACTTTGAGTCAGGGTACATTGGTAGAGCTCTTGATTCATATCCCTCCATCAAGCTTAACTGTCCAGTCTGCAATGATTTCCCACCATTGTATAATGTTATGCAGTTTTTTGGTTATGTATCACTAGCGAACGCTGTAATTCTGATGTTACAAGGGAACTAACATTTTGCTTAACGAACACACATGCAAGCCAGTCTATTCTTAGAGTTATTTCCATTGTTAATAGATTTTGAAAAGTTTTTTGTGAGGGTTTGTTTGGTTTGTTTGGGGTTTCTTTTGGTGAGAAAAAGAAACTTGAGTACTATGGTCAGTCTCTGTTTCCTCCTCCACAGTAAGAGGGGGAAGAATTGAAATACAGTGCCTCAGTCAGAGCTTTGACTGAAAGCGGTAAGCTTCAGAAACTTCAGCTCACGTAGAAATTATTATAGAACTAACTATTTTTATAATGCATCAAATAGTTGCACGTCGCATAATCTAGACTAGAAAGAAAACAACCACCTGTTATTCCTTAAAGGGCAGTTTTGTTGTATGTGTGTATCCCCATTCAAAGTGTTGCACAATGTGGTCAGGGACAGCAGTCTCCTCTTTGCTGAGCAGATTATTCTTTTGGTAAGTGATCCTGAAGCTCCTTCTAGTAATGTGCAAAGTAACTGTCACCAGAAGTCCAGGCTAGATGAAACTGTAGCTTTAGCTGCTCTCTCTTCCTGTGAATAGAGTAAGGTGCAATAAGCTATATCCTGCATTAGATCATTAGCCACACATCTCTGACATATGACTTTCAGATACTGGGTGAAGCCTTATCTCTCCTATTACTTGAAATGTGAAAGTGATAGGGAGTAGATTACATGAAAGGATTCATCAGGCTGCAAAGGAAGGTAAAAGTACAGCTTACTCCTGTCAGTCTGATTTGAGGGGAAAATGGCCACTCATTTTTGAAAAAGATAATCAGTAGTAAAGCCTCCAGCACATAAGTACTGGAGATGATCTTTAGGGTGTGACTTGAAAGCATCGGCCCACTCAGCTCTGTCTGTGTTTGAGATGACATGCTATCCCTGACATCTTGGAGGAAGGGGCTTCTGTATGATACAGGAAGAACAGGAACAGAGCTGGGGTTATGTTTAAGCCCAGAAAATTAAACTAGAATACTCTTTCCACATCCCAGTGGCTTTTATTTTTACCTCAGCTGTTCGCTGTGTGCTTTCCTGAAGGACAAGATGTTATAACAATCACTGTGTGAAGTCACAGCTGTTGTGTTTTCTAACAAGCTGTAAGCACTGCAGGCAGTTGCACACACTCCAGAGCTTAAGAGCTCAATAGTGTAGCAAGGACTTGAATCTTATTTTTGAGTAGGCAGGCCAAAGAACTCCTTCCTTCAGGGAAGCTTTCTTTACAAGTACAGAATTTCACAAGTTTCCTAGATAAACCTGTGTCATTAGGTTAACTGTCCTTTCTTCTTGATAGGAGCTTTGTATCATTCAAGCAGAGCTATTTAAAACACTTCAGTAGCCTTATGTTAAAGGCGCTGCAGCTTTAACCATGCTGTTTTACAGCTCTAAGGAGTATAGATTAAGGAAAAATTAGCTTCTGACATGCAATACAGGTTATGTGGTCATTCATCATTCAGCTTTGAGAAACAGCTAGGGAGTATTGGATGCAGAAGCTCCGTATTAGGGAGGAACTGTCATGTCAGTGCTTATGGATCCTAACCATGTTTATGCAAATGCTTTACAGGAACAAAGAAAATTCATCACCCTTGGAATCAAATCAAACAGAAGACAAAGATAAACCAAAAAAGAGGAAGATAGCTGAAACCTCTAATGTTATCACAGAAACACTGCCATCTGCAGAATCGGAGCCTGTTGAAATTGAGGTTGAGATTGCTGAAGGGACGATTGAAGTGGAGGATGACAGCGTCGAAACACTTGAAGTAGCATCTGCAGAGCAATCTATAAAGTACATACAAACAACGGGTACATCAGATGAATCTGCTTTGGCTCTTTTGGCAGATATCACCAGCAAGTATCGTCAGGGAGAGAGAAAATGCCAGATCGAAGAAGGTGATAGTGCAACTGATCCCTCGTGCAAACGGGTAGAAGGTATTGAAATTGTGGAACTCCAGCTGGCACACATGAACAATTTATTCCACTGTGAGAAATGTAATCGTTCGTTTAAATTGTTTTACCACTTTAAGGAACACATGAAAACACACTCTGCTGAGAGTTACAAGTGTGACATATGCAATAAAAGGTACCTACGAGAGAGTGCCTTGAAACAGCACCTCACCTGTTACCACCTTGATGAAGGTGGTGCCAGCAAGAAGCAAAGACCTGGCAAAAAAATACATATATGCCAGTACTGTGAGAAGCAGTTTGACCACTTTGGACATTTTAAAGAGCACCTCCGGAAGCACACAGGTAAGAGTACTGCTGTAGTCATCTCCCTGTGGCCTTGGCTCAAGCATTTCAGGGTTTTGCATGTTCTAGGGAAATAGAGAATATGCTGAAGAGAACACAAGTCCTGGGTGCTAGAAATACTTAGCTTCTAGTTATAACTAAAATGCTGGTTTGTCTTTTTGTTTGTTTGGTTGGTTGTTTTTTTGCTTGTTTGCTTTTCCATAGAGATCAACTTTTGAGGGATTAAGGTGGTTAAAAACAGGCACCTAACACCATAAAGCACTAATGATGCTTGTCTCTCAAGTCTATTAAATCTTAAAGATTTTTTCAAAATAATTTCTTAAGGCATGTTTCCCTCTTCAAAAGTACCAAAATGAGGAGCTACTTGTATTTTCACAATTCTACTAGTAGATGTTTCTGTTGAAATATAAGCTGAACTGTGAGCTGCTCAGTGGAATACAGTTTAGAGAGTTTCTTTATCTAACAGAAATTCTGAGCAAATGCCTATTAATGCACTGGACATAAAATACCACCTAAAAATTCTCCTTTGTACCGTCTGGTTTTGAAAGTTTTACCCTTGCTTGTGACATCTCATCTATTATTTGATTTTTCTTTGTTAGTTAACACAAAAAAAAATTTCTAGCGACTATAGTACACTTTTTTACTGTAAAATCTGCCTCTCTGAAATCTGGATAGCATCTTTTGAATACAAAATGACTTGTACTCCTTCTTTCTTCTTTATAATATGGGAGGTTAAGATGCTACTTTTTCATCTCACTGAAAAGCCTACTTTCTGAACAGGTACTGAGCATTATACAGATAATTCTGAATGTATGTGGTCCTGTTCTTCCACATGTTTCTGTTTAATATGTCAGTCACGAGTCATCAGTAAGAATTAAATGGAGGGTAGCAGCCCTATTTCTTTTGCAGCTTCTTATTGTTGTTTAAGCCTTTTAATTCTAATTTATTTGTATCTGTGTATAACGCATGGAATCTAATTGCTTTGGGCTTAGCATTTTCAAAAGCCTTAATCTTAAAATCAAAACAGATACTATAATTTAACTGTGGTCTTCTAAGGTTAGTGGAAAAACTCTCATTGAGCCAAAGGCTTTCTAAGTTCTGACTTCTGTATAGAACAGGATGAATGCTAAAATGAAATTAAAAGGCCTGGGAGAAAATGTCCTACAAAGTATTCAATCCTGTTGCTGTTTGATCACAACACCAGCAATAACATGAAAGTATCAATTGGGGCAGAAATAGACAATTTTGCAGTGTTGGTATTTTTTTTGATGTAGGAATTTGACAACTACTGCAGTCCTGAAAATGCAGGCTTTTAAAGTAGCTAGGATCGATTCTTACATTGTTCACTGAAATGTTCCAGCCTCTTTTGGAATTTCTCAAGCCATTTGTTTCAGTAGTGATGGTGGTGTCAGTACCTCCATAGATTCATTATCAGACTTTCAGAAGAAACAACTGTTCCTTAGTTTTTGGACTTTAATTTCCTTGGATTTCATTGTGTTTGTGCATGGTGAAATTAGTAAACAGAGGCACCAGTTGTTCTTTGTTATTACTGTCACCAAGTAGCAACAATATGCTACTTTGGATGAAAAAGAGAGAATGACCTGTTTTCAGCCTCCCCTGCTGTTGTCCTTGGCTGGCTTCTGTGTTTGGTACTAGGTTTGAAATGAGGTGGCCAAACTGAAAGGAATTTGTAACTTGCTTGCACCCATTTATGTCCCCCTGTCTTTTCTCTTCACTGTATTTTGGGGTGAGAGGGCATTGTTTGTTTGTTTGTTTAACGCTGATGCGTTGTTATTTTGTGGTCTTTCCGTGCCAACTTCTTTTTCTGGAGCTCAGTTTCAGCTCTCAAGCATAAGCTGTTATTGTTCTTGAAAATGAAATTTTGTGCTATTTAAATACTTCCTTCTTCAATGTGTTACTTTGTATATTTACTAATATTAGTTCTTTAAGTGTAAATAGTACCAGATGAAAAGAAAGAAATAGCTGCTATTTCTTTAAGATACTTCATCAGAGTAGTAATCTGATTTCCCTAAAAACCAAGAGACACTGGTAATTGTTACACTGGGTTTTTTTCTAAATTTTCCTAAACTCTGCATTAGGGTTTTGTGCTTTTGTTTACATAAACAAAGTTTACATAGATTGTCTTTCTCTTCTTCTGTAGAATGATCCAGTCGGCCATGACTTTACAGTGTATTTATCAACCTACAGAAAAGGGCGAGGGGCAGGCGAGAGAGCTGACAGAAAACTGGCTGGTTTTATACACTTAAAAGTCCCTCTGTCTGTCTTAACAGGTGAAAAACCATTTGAATGTCCAAACTGCCATGAACATTTTGCTAGGAATAGCACGCTCAAATGTCACCTGACAGCCTGTCGGTCTGGAGCTGGTGCTAAAAAGGGAAGAAAGAAGCTGTACGAATGTCAGGTGGGTAATGGAAGTAGCAGAGTCTGAGGCAGGATACATCTTTCCTGTGCTGAGAGAGTGTGGCAGTACTGAGCAGAAAGGCAATGTGAGTGGGCTTATGTCTCCAAGAGCTACTTTTAGTAAAATTAATATAAGGGTCACATTCAACTACAATATGCAGATAAATTCTTATGTCTAAGTAGTTCCATTTAAATATGGAATTACTGACATAGAGCCTCATAATACTTTTGATCAGAGAGATTTTTATGGGTAGGTAAGGGTTCATCTGCATCTTACTGATCTTTCAGCTTTCTTTTCAAGGTTCTTAATGAACTGACCTAGGCTTTTCCCACTTGTCAGCATGCTTCACTAAAGTCTAAAATACAAAGTATTATTTTATTTCCTATTTTATTATTCTTCTGATTGACACGCAATTATTGACTTTGTCTCGACAGTCATTCCAACTTATGCTGACAATCTCTAATGTCTTCTAAGCAAATATAAATGCTGTAGATGGATAGCTAGGGTACTTGGTCACTATATGTAACAGATTTGAAAAGCAGTTCAGATAAACCTTACTTAGCTTTTAAAAGCTGATTCTTAAAAGCTAGAAAATACAAGGGTTGAGGTTGGTTGTGGCATTTTTATTTGCCATTTCGCTGCCGCACTGCTGTGACAGTCTTAAAGAAGAACATATTTCTCACTCTTTCTCCCTCCCCGTTCCTCCCTCCCTTCCCTCCCCACCCCCATCTCTTTCTCTCGCTCACTCACTTTCTCAGTCTCTCTCTTTTTTCTCTTAGGGCTCTCACCTTATTCATTTCACAGAGTGGCTGTGGTTTGAGGTTAAATTGGGTTGCGTAGTGAGGAAAACTGCTGGATATAATTTTTATTTGTTCCAAAAGAGTGATCATATTCACAGAAAGCACTGAATACTGTAGGAGGTGAATTAATTTTGTGTTGCTAATCAAATAATTTATTCAGAAGTTTCACTGGTGCTGTTCCATCATTTAGTTGTGATGCTAGTCTGAAGTCAATTCTTGGGACCATACCTTTGTCTTAAAGATAAGTTTGTTCTGAATGTGAGACTTACTGTATAACACAAAGTTGTACCAAATAGCTCCATTAAACATACTGTTTTATCTTCGTGGCACTTTGGTCTAATCGCTTTGTGTCATAGCTTTCTCTTTCTAAATTGATACCGCATCCTCTCACAGCTGGTGTGAATGTGGATTAGTGTTTCTTCAGCCCGTGGAAACTACAGTAATTCTTGGATACATTTTTCTTGAATTTTTCTCTCCTTAGAACTAAATTTGAATCCTGATCAATAAATAAATCTTGGCTCACTAAGCAAAGAGGAGAAAACAAAATTGTGCTTCCTTGATGAACACTTTTGGTACTCTTCAGTGTATACCTTGAGTACTGAATTGGGCTCTGCAAGGCAAGAACAATAATTATGTGCTTGGGCATTACCGGTAGTCATTAACTTTGTGTGACTAAGCAATTTTGAGTGCTTATCTATAAGGTTCATGTTTTAAGAAGTCTATGTGCAACTTCTTTCTGAAGTGTGAGCTTAGGGGAGGGAAAGCATGGCACTGGCATCACAAACCCATTTCACCAGCAAAATGGCAATGTTTAGCTCTGCTACACAGACCTGTTCTTGAGTTAATCCCTTTCAGATACTCCATCATCCTTCTGTGCTGTTGCTGAAAATCATGAGGAGCTGGAACAATCATTTTCAAAGCTATTTGCCAGCAGTGAAGGGGTGTTGAAGCGTGTTCTTGGCTGCTTTCTGCAGCCAGGAACACTTGCATGGACAAAGACTCCTGAGCCTGTTTCTTTACTCCAAGCCTGACTGTACCCCACTCTTCTCCCTCTCCTACCCTGGCACCTCATTCATGTCTGCGGTCTGTGTGTGTTGTTTTAAGGCTGCTTGCCTCAGTGCCAGCTGAAGGGAAGGAAGTATACTCATGTGCTTTGTGAAAATTGTGCATCTGCAGTTGAAGAGGTACTTTTAGCTGGAAGATGATTAAAGGGACAGAGTTTTAAGAGACTTTTACCTCCGGAAATCACTCAAGTGTTTTTTTGAAATGGCAAAACGTGAGAGTTCAGTCTAGTCAGTTAAACCTCACAAGGTCACAAGCAAATGGAAGCTGCTAAGGAGAAGCTGGCTAGTAGCACTGCATCTAGAACTTCAGTAAAAGAACAGTTTGTATTACACTCTAATTGTACAGTATTATTACATAAACAGCTTTCCACCCAAAATGCTAGCCCTGGACATTTACTGGGAGATGATACTGTACGTGAAAACTTTCAAATGCTGTACTGACTCATAAATTTCATAGGTATCCTGTGTATGCACAACTTGAAGTAGCACACTGTTTCTTAAAAATGAATAAATATCAGGTCTTCGGTTCATCTGAAGCAGAATTCTCAGCTTTTACCTCTAACGTGTATGTTTTTTTTAATCAAAGTAGCAGGAAGCTACACTATGTGGAGCCATGATCTGAAATAGGCACTACACTTTTTGTCATATTTCTGTTGGCACTGTTTAACTTACTGTATCTTTTGTTTCAGGTTTGTAACAGCGTGTTTAACAGCTGGGATCAATTCAAAGATCACTTGGTAATACACACCGGTGACAAACCCAACCACTGCACCTTATGTGATTTGTGGTTTATGCAAGGCAGTGAGCTTAGAAGGCATCTCAAAGAAATGCACAATATTTCAGAACGGATAGTGACAGAAGAGGTCCTTCCAGTGGAAGCTGTGGAAGCTGAACCAGTGACATCAATGACTATAATAGAACAAGTGGAGCAAGTCCATGTCCTACCAGTAATTCAGGTACAAGTGGATCCTGCACAAGTAACTGTGGAACAGATGCACCAGGATCTCATACAGGACAATCAAGTGAAAGGCACACAGCTGGAGGAACTGCAAGAACAGGTGCAAATTAGTTACTTGGAAGTTGAACACATTCAGACTCATCAAGGTGCTGAAGTTCATGTGGGGCAGTTACATGTTGGGCATGTAAATCAAATACAGATGGAAGAAGTACAGGCAGAACTTACAGATGGAACAGACCTTGAACAAGCGGAGTATGAAAGTGTTGATCAGGGAGAAGCAGAAGAAAAGGAACCCTGATCAAGTAGATGATGCAGATAAGGAAGATCATGAACAAGCTGAAGACTTAAAAACTCAACAGCAGACATGCAGAATGAAAAGGCGGATAACTAGGACAAATAACGACACTGTGCAGGTTTAGAAATTAAATACCAAATTATTTTTGTTAGCTTTTACATTGGTTTTTGAACTGTCTGTGGTAATGTTTCCAATATGCTGTCCTTAGCAAGCTGGACAAGTGGACCAAGATTAGCTTTCTTCATGTACAACTAAACTTCTCTCATGTGAAAAATAACTTTTTTCATTCATGTAATACCATGCAACAGAAACTACCACAGACATGGACAGCTTTGTGAACATTTTAATAATCAATAGGTTGTATCATTGGTACACCACCTCTGGGGATATGTAAGTGTAACTTCACCTCTTTTCATCTTACAATAGAAGCAAACTCTTTTTATAGATTTTCAGAGTGTCTGTGGCAGAAGAATCAGTAAAATCTGGTGAGTTCTATTGTAAGTGGCAACTGGGTACCTGTGAATTTTTGGATCAGGCTGCTGTATCCTAACAGTGGTCCGTAACTTTCAGGCTGGGGGAAAAAACCATTGTTGATGGAGGTCTCAGAGCACAAAAATCCTGTGCCTTTTCCACACTGACTGGTTAAATTTCCACAAAGTTCATAGTGTTTAAGAACCTAGTTCAGTAAAAGGCAATGTAGGTAATGTCACAGCGCTTTATATTTTTGCTTAAAATTGTCAGCTACTGATTTATTTTTTTTGCATTAAATTTAGAGGCGGGGGGCTGGGGGAGGAAACATTCTACAGGAATGCTGCAGGACACTTGAAAAGGGGCACTATAAAATAAGAAAAGGTTGGTAGAATCTGTGGTAAGTGTAAGCTGGAGGAAGGCTACCAGCAGACTCTTTTATGATCATCATTTTTGAAAATGAGTATGTTTAAACATAGAGGAGACTTCTCTGTAAGGTATCAGGTTCCTGTTTTTTTGAAACAAAATTCTGACACTTGACACAAAGATGTGCTAAACACAAAAGTAAAAGCCATAGGTGTGAGTGCTAAACTGTGGGTTGAAAAGCACGAGTGTAAATAATTTAATCAATATTAGACAATAAAACAATACCAACCATTAAATGTTGCATTATTTGTTTCATCCAATAAATTAGGAATAACTGAGCTACTGGCAATTACAGTCCCAGGTCTCAGTGGTAAGAATCAATCTCATTTTTAGTAAGATTAATAGCTGTTTACTGTAAAGTTTGATTTGTTTAGGAAATACTGTTATAGTTCTATGTTCAAGGATGCTAGGGACTTCTAAATCTCAAATATTGCCTTGAGATTAGAGGTGCTCCACACTTCTGAAAAACTTTATTTTCAAAGCCTTAACTGGAGATTAATTTTTGCAAGGATGTTCCCTAATGCTCTTGGTAATTCTGTAGATCTTAGTTAAAATCGGGCTTTTCTATTCAGTCTTCTCCACGTGCAGAATTATTTCCTGGGATTTGTGCTTTTATTTAGTCTCGTTCAAAATTATTCTTGTGTTTCATTTGAGAAACTGTTGCAAAACCAACATGGATCTCAATTAAAATTTCAAGCAAATTGATTAATGTAACTTGTATTCTTTTTTTTCTGATGTTTTGTGTTTCTGAGATACGAGTAGTATGTGATGAAATTCTGTGCAGAGGGAAGACTGTGGCCCAATGTTAATCATGAAAATAAATGTTGGCTATTGTACTTACACCTGGCTTCTGATAAGCAGCTCATCTTCTGATAACGCAGGCCTGCTTGCTTAGCTGTGTAACTTTAATTTTTTAGGTATTTGTGCATAGAGACACACAGTCTGTATCTTTGGAATTAAAGGAACAGTCTGCCTGTGTGTCAAACCAATTAAACTAACTTTTAGGTAATTTAAGCCCAATGTAAATTGAGCAGTTACGTGGTATTGGTAGCAGGGCTGTGGTTTGGTAAGCACAGCTGGGCTATTTCTCTGTTCTGTTTGATCTCCCCTTTTCAACAACTATTCATTAATTTGGTAGGAGAGAAATGATGCTCTGTTGTTGCATCTAGTGCTGCCCAATCCAGATACCTGCTGAGCCTAGGTGGGAGCATGGTGGGACCATGAGCAATCGCCTTCTCACTGTGAGGGACAGGGTGAAAGGCTCTCCTCAAGTAAGAACTCCCCTGGAGAGCCTGTCCCTCGGTAACCCCCTCTTCCCTATAATTTATTTCCCCAGCCCCTGAAGCCCAAATTTCTCCCACAGGTGGAGCCCCTCATGCTTCTCTATTGCAACCACTGATACTAGGGGAGGGAAGACTAATGGGGGAATCAGAAGCTCTGTCTGCTCTCTGGAGTCGCCACCTTGCCATTCTCTTTCTGCCCCACATGTCTGTATAGACACACAGAACTTTCCAAACTCTGTATTACTTACACACCATTGGAGGAGTTCTTCCCTCTAAAGGAAAAGAAGCATGACCAGCAGGTTGAGGGAGGTGATTCTCCCCCTCTACTCTGCTCCTGTGAGATCCCACCTGGAGTACGGTGTCCAGGCCTGAGGTCCTCAGCACAGGAAGGACGTGGACCTGTTGGAGTGAGTCCTGAGGAGGGCCATGAAGATGGTCAGAGGGCTGGAATACCTCCCGTACAAGGACAGGCTGAGAGATTTGGGGTTGTTCAGCCTAGAGAAGAGAAGGCTCTGGGGAGACCTTATAGCAGCCTTCCAGGACCTCAAGGGGGCCCACAGGAGAGGTGGGGAAACACTCTTTGTCAGGGAGTGTAGTGAGAGGATGAGGGATAACAGTTTTAAGCTGAAAGAGGGGAGATTTAGATTAAATATTAGGAAGAAATTTTTTACTGTAGGGGTGGTGAGACACTGCAAGACGTTTCCCAGAGAAGCTGTGGATGCCCCATCCCTGGAGGTGTTCAAGGCCAGGCTGGATGAGGCTTTGAGCAGCCTGGTCTAGTGGGAGGTGTCCCTGCCCATGGCAGGGGGGGGGAAAGTAGATGATCTTTTAGGTCCCTTGCAACCCAAACCATTCAATGATTCTCTGATAAATACATACATACTGCTGGTCCCCAGAGCCCTGTGTTATGTGTATCCTGGTCTTTAGCTTGCAGTGGGGCGGCGCATGGTGTCAGTTATTGAATTTATGCCAAATGAAACTAATCAGCTGAAGAGGTGGGGTCTAGGCAGTGAGAAATGGAAAAGTTGTAATGAACAAAAACCCACAAAGTGTGTCTGGATATAAAATGAAATTGAGCATTAATCTGAGACTGAAGTTAGAAGAATTTTAGATTCATATGTGATATTCATGGGATGCCATAATCTACTACTGAAAATAAAGCAGGGAGGGGAAAGGGAGCTGATCAATAGTTTGAGACCACCGAGTTATTCAGGAAATGTACAAAAGGACTAGCTGCTTTTTTTTTTTTTTTAACCAGTCTTCCTGAGCCAAAGCATGTTCCATCTGCAAGCTTATGAGGATGAAATTGGATGTCAGTCCTGTGTGAAATGGTCACTAGAGGATCGAGAAGCCTCTGCTTTGTTTTGCCTGCCAGCAGTGGAACTTGTAATTAGCAAATGGTGCCAAATATGGTGCTCTCTTACACAAATTCTGTAACTCATTATTTCTCCAATGAGAAAACATTTATAATGGAAGTTTAATTTTGTTGCTTATTTTTAAGGGTTGAAGTATCTCTCCTACAGTGACTATCATGAAAATGTAACGTGCCATTAATTTTTTTTTGTTGTTGCTGTTTCCAACAACTCTATTCTTAAACTATAGTGTTTGCTGCTAGCAAATCATTTAAAAATTAAAGCAACCTGCTTATCATGAAAATACAAATAATTTGCAGCTTGTCCAACAGCTGGCAGCTCAGGCAGGCACGGCAGAAGCTGGAGACCTTTCCCACTCGCCAGCTCCCACTGCTGGACTTAACTTTATAAGTGTGCCCGTGTTCGCATCCTCGCCACGGCTTCGTGCGCACGCTGAGAGGTGCCGGCGCAGCTCCCCGCTGCCTTCGGCCTGACGGGTTTTTCTTCTAACTGGAACCTGGAGTGATCTGTCACTGTCCCTGCTGGAGCTTGTCTTTCCCATGCCTTTACAGGGGGGCTGGCGGCCTTTCGGGGAAGTTATTTGTACCGTTAAAAGACCTGCAGCTAGGACGGGGCGCAGGCAGTAGCTCCGCGGCTGCGGGCCTCAAACGCGGGGACAGGGGCACCGGAAA